GGTTTGTAATGAAAATTAGACCTGCTATAAATAATAACTTGCGAAGCATAATAGAAAATTCAGATTTTAATTAATTTAGTTACTTCTAATTAATTTCTATTAGAAATTAATTTTCTCGAGTCTGATGTGCCTGATAACAAAGTCTAGAAGAAACTTCGCATCCTTGCCATAGTTCCATCCATCATAAAAGGTACGACAAATTTCACTGCCCCTTTACTACAGACAATATACAAGAGAGAACGTGATGCTTCCATAAAAATTCGTCGTTAATTAACTAACGAACGATTAAGAATCACCGATTAATTAGGGTCAATTTAAAATACAAGCATTAGAGCTTCTCGCTGTTCAATCTTTAAGTAACGTTACCTTATTTACTTAATATAAATAATTATCATTCAAGTAAAATAAATTCATTATGTGATCAAATTGATCTCCAATTCTCTCCGAAATTCTTTACAGTCAGATATGAAATCCAGAATTTAAAGTATGTAGGAAAATAAATAAATAAAGGTGTGATCGTGAAATTATGTGGAAGAGAAATATAAAAAGTGTCAGAAAGTACTCTAACTCGGAGTAGGGTGGGCGTAAAATTAATTAAACGTGTCCTACGTTTTTACAATGGTATATGTTACTAAAATTCTATATCCGCGTTATCTGAGGGTCATTCGCAAAAGTATGCTTCGAGAGTCTCGTGCAGAGTGAGTACGCGTCGTCCTGCCGATCCCTGTCCACCCCTACGCGAACAGGCCCAGGGAAAGTCCCAAAGGGGCGGAGTCACCCCCACCGAGCGCGCTGGGCCTGGCTTCAAGATGCTCGCTTCACCGTCTTCGGGACGGATTTTCTCACAAAAGGTTTATTGTAATAGAGAAAATACGGTGAGAAGAAATACACTAAACGTTTACTGAAAATGCGTCTCGACAATTCTGGTCTTCGTCTAAACGGTTCGTCGTCTAACAGTGCTCTTGCGTCTACGTCTCGATACGTACTGCCGATTATCGCGTTCTTCCCTGCCCTTTGCCTCAGCACGCTCGCTCTTCTGTTTATATTCTCTTTCTCGCTTCCACACGCTCACTCTCTCTCTCATTCCTACACCGAGACTCTACGTGCCGCAGAACGCGTTTCGACTTGTCGCCGAAACTTCTCGGATCCCACAAATATAAACATTAGGGCCCCTCGCTATTAAATCTCGCAAACATTCAACCTTTAAGTTAGCTTATTACCGAATATAAATTATTACGTATTAAAATAAATTCATAATCTGATCAAATTGATCTCCAATTCTCTCCAAAGTTCTTTACAATCGAATATTTTCTTTGTAACTTTTGAACAAACCACTTACGCACTTTTCCTCGCGCTACATTTCAGCCTTCTTTACCTACAGAGCACACCAGCAAAATTTATACCGAAAACTGTAGGACACCCGGTGTATAATCGATATTTAATCGGCCTCCCCGTTTCCACTTCCACCAAATTCGATGAAAGTTTGAACAACGAGGCTATCGTGCGATTCGATGGAAGCGCGATGACGACGCGAATTCCATACACTCTACGGAATTGTTTCTTCCTTTGTCCCCGATGGTACAGAGGCGGGTACAGCCTATGCAATGCACTATTTCTGCCAGTGAAAGCAAATCGTGCCAAGACACGCGGCTACGACAGCAATTCCATTTTGATATCATGAATATTTCCCGCTGCAGGTTCCTCGAACTTACTCATCGTGGTCGACTTAACTGGCACGATTTCGTGCTTCCCACTACCCACGTAAACAGCCTCGTGTTTCGTGTTCCCCTTTATAGTTCGCGATTCAAGGCATCTTACGATTACCATTAATTATTACGGCTTCGTGTAACGGTAATGCTAGGGGCATATTTTCTTCGGTAGAAGAGATTTTTCGTTGCGTAATATTTTGTGATAATTAAAGGATGGAAGAGTATACTTGTGTTTTGTGAATTTGATTTTCTAACGATCTGATTTTAACCCTTTCATTGCTGCTGGCGCCTATAGACGCTTTGAAAATTTGTTGCAGCGTTGTGGTACACTTCGATCTTAATTTAATATTTAATTTGACACTTTACACACGTCCATGTTAATTATGTATACCGAAAATAATAAACTTTAAATAACGATTCAACTGGTAGTGTACATATTTTTATCTCTTCTTTTCTCAGGGATGCTCGTCACCGCTGGTCGTGAAATTCGCGGACACGCAGAAGGAAAAGGACCAGAAAAGGATGCAACAACTCCAGACGAATCTTTGGAATATGGCAGGAGTCAATATGACACCGCATTACCTGACCGTCCGTACCTTTTCTCACCCTACATCAAAAAGCTCGTTAATATCGAAAATAGAATACTTTCTCGTAAAGTGATTTTTCTAAAATTTTCAAAATTCCACTAAGAATCAAGCTAAGTCTGGGTCTTTCTTGACCCATTATCGAGTTTATATTCCCTTGACGTTACATTAAAAGTTTAATATCTAAGTTCATATGGCATACTGGTAACAAAAATTATCACACACAAGATCTCTGGGTCTCTTTTGACCCAAGGACCTTAACACATTGTTGACGAGAGAAGCGAATTCGCCTCTTTTGTTTCTCAACTGCTAGTGACAAGATTCGCTAGTTCGCGTCATCTCTATTATTGAACGAAGTGTCGAAAATTATTTTTCAAAAACTACACATCTCAAACGTGTGAATTTATCGTTTTTCAGTTTCGATCCATTTCATAGTATGCCGTCAGCGATATGTTAAGCGCCTTCTCGAATAGAAGAACGTAATAAGTTTAAGAGAAAACACAGCTCGAATAATCGGCACAAATTTTCGACTCGTCCAGTTGACATCGTCGGTTGCTAAATTGTTAAAAACTTTAGCTACACACAGTATTCACGAAAATCGCGTGTACTTGCAGAACGATACGCCTGCCCTGGCGCCCGCCTCCCTGCAACTGTTGCAACAACTTCAAGCGACGACGAGTGCGGCAACTCCGGTTGCGGCAGGTGCCGGTGCCAGCGCGCTCTCGAATGTGCAACATCAGTTGTTACTGCAACAGCATCTAGGCCTCGGTGCTGCAACCCCCGCGCACGCGGCTGCACCAACGGTCCCCAGCCCGCCGGAAATCAACCCCGCGAACCTTCAAGGCTTGGCGACCCTCGCGTCCTTGAGCAACACCGCCGGT